AACTCAGAAGTATGGGAAATTCGTAAGCACCTTAGTGCAACATTCAAATATTTAACTTTGTAGATTTTTTACCTTTGACCAAAATCTATATCTATCTATCTATACTATATTAAAAGCACGAAACCTAAAATGTCGTTCGCCTTTTTTACCCTTCGTATGTATATTTTATTTTGGATAAAATTGTCGTTATAAACTCTAATAAATTTTTCCTATGGAATAAAACTAAAAGTTGCCGTTTATTTCCGTTTTTGTTGCATACGGCTTTTTCTTTATTTAGGTTTAAGTTTCACTTTAAGTTTAGAATTCTTTTACCAATAAATGTTTACTTAGTTATTCTTTTCTTTGTTTAGGTTTAGGATTCACTTTAGATTAAGGATCCTTTATCAAAATTTTCTTAAGCTACAGATCTTTGTAACAACTTTTAATTACCGTATGTAGCTTTATTTTGTTAACAACTTTTTTTGTTTTAATTATTGTAGGTATATTACAATATATTGATCGTTGGAATAAGTTCTTAAAATTTTGTGGCCTGTGGGTTTGGATACGGTGTAACGACGTCTCTAGAGGTAAAATTTGTTTGTTTTTGAGGTAAAACCTTTTAATCTTTAGTGTGTTTTTAAGTTAAGTAATAATAATGGTTCATGTATTTTTGAGTCTTGACAAACAACTACCAATCGAAAAGTTGTTAGTTTTGTACTTTTTGTTTATAATTTTCATATGATTATCAGTTTAGTGATATTTACAGATTTTGTACAAGTTGTTTATACATTAGATCATTGCGTCCGTAACAAAAAAATAGTTACGCGTTCATGATATCAATTCAAGATCTTATTAATTCAAGATTATTTTGCCTTATGTTTTATAATTAAAATTGTTAATTGATGTGTGCCGGCTTAAGTTGCTCATATTTTCTAAGAATTTTTTTTATTACCTCTTTTGATTGATTTTATTATAGATATTACATGGTCTAATTGTTACTTAAAGAATAAACATTAACAAGTGACGTCCCAAGATTTTGATCATTTCGTCGGCTGAAGTAAATAATTCTCCTTATCTCATAAAACGAGTTATAGAACTATGTTACTATTATAGATTTTTCATCATAAAAATTTAAGGAATATTAATTTTAAGGTGTGGTGTAGGATTTTTTTGTCTCACTTACAGTTTTCAATTTTGCTAAACAATAAAATTGTGTTGCACACAAAACTAAATTTATTAGGTTTGAAAGTTATGTGTCTTTGTTGAAGTTCAACTACGAGTTTGTTCTTTCAATCTTTGATCTTCATAATTGAAATTTTCTGAAATAATAACTTACTTCAATTTATTTTAGGGTAACTTAATTATTTTACCTTTCTTTAATATTCATACTATTCATGTATTGTTATTAATTGTTTGAAGTTTCCATGATGAAGAGATCATCACGAGTATAATGTCATAGTCGACCTATATAACCTAATCGGTATAAAACTTATGGTTAATTAAAAAATTGACAAGTTAAATCATTTGTAAATAAACTTTTACTTATTTAAAATGGATTAGTAAAAGAATTTAAAATCGCAACAAGTTAATAAAGGCCTTTGATAAGACTCTTACACTTGTAGATGAGGAGGTAATGATGTTTTTATATTCGTATTATGTTCCATATTTTTCATATTATTTTAATCGTGATATTAAGGTTAAGTTTTTACTTGAAATAAAAATTCAACCTATTTTTCAATAATCAAGCTGAAATGTGGAATAAATATTTAGAACAAAGCAAGAACTATTACATCATAAACAGCCACATAAATGGTCTAAATCCTAATTTTCGTTTGATGTACAAAGAACTTGAGATTGTATTCAATAATGGTGCTATATTCAAAGATTGCAACAAATAACAACAACAACAACAAAAACAAAAACATACTTTGCACGATCCACAAGTGGGATCTAGGGAGGATAGTGTGTGTGTAGACTTTACCCCTACCTTGTGAAGGTATATAGTCAAAGATTGCAATGATAAATTTTATACCATTAGTTTTTCAAACAGTTTTGTTTAGTCTAATGCACCAAGGAAAAATATCGGGTGATTTCTTTTGGTTTCATTTAATTTCTTCAGATTTCATCGATTAATATTACATTAAATGTATGAATAATATTCTACTTCTATTTACTTAATAATTTATTAGTAACTTAAATATATTTTCTTTTAATCTTTTGCAGACGTACTTGATATTAGTGATAGTTTAGGCCTCCCTTGGAGAAGCAAAAAAGAAACAAAGAAATAATATTAACGAAATGAAACGTAAGTTAGAAGTTAGTTTAACTTAATCATTTATTACTATAAATAATTATTATTTGAATCCAGGTATTTAATACAATTGATATAATATTTAATTGTAAGTTTCAAGTATGATCCTGAAATTATAACCTTACGGGGAGATTTATAGCCTGTTTGGCCAAGTTTCTTCAATAAAAAAAGTGCTTTTGAGTAGAAGCAGAAGATGTTTTGGAGAAGCAGAAAAAAGTAGCTTCTTCCCCCCGAAGCACTTTTTTGAGAAGCACTCTTGAGAAAAATACACTTAGAAGCACTTTTTAAAAGCTTGGCCAAACACTTATTGTTGCTTAGAAGTGCTTTTCAAATTAATTAGCCAAACAAAAACCGCTCCTCACAAAAAGTACTTTTAAAAAAAGCACTTCCCAAAATAATCTGATTTTTCTAGCTTGGCCAAACGGGCTATTAGTCGAAAAAGAAGGTGGTACACTCCAAAAATTTATGCATAAAAACCTATTAACTCGCTATATGATGTTTAAGTGTAAAATATACCAAAGGTGGAATTTCAAAGGTAAAATTGTAATTTTTTATCCTTTAGATTGTACTTAACCTTTTTTCTTATAAGTTTGTGAAGGAAAGTTCATAATATATACTGCACATATTAGTAGTACATTGATAAATGTTCGAAAAAGCAACAGCTCTCCAAATTCAGGAATTATTACTGAAATATAGTTATTATTATGTACTTTTTGGTTGAAATGCAGACATGATCGTACTCAAGCACAAGATAAAAAAGTGACACTAATACCATCCATTTTTATTTTATTTTTTGATATTCTTTTACATATCTAATAGTTTTAATTTCTATCGCGCTAAAATAAAAAATTTCATTTAAATACATGTGACATTTATTTGGACGTTTTTCTATTATACATAGTTTATACTTAGCATATACAACTCTTTTATTAAGAGACACGATTTTCACGTGCAACGCACGTATCCTAAAACTAGACATTACTTAAATGACGAGGTGTGCCTTTTTTACCCTTTAAAATTAGATTTTACTTTAGACAAAATAGTCATTTAAATTATTTCCTAATATTTAGGATTTTGAAATTATTGCTAATCAAATATTTCCTTATTTTAACTATATAGAAAATCTCAATATTTAGGACTTCATTTAAATTTTACCATATATAAAATCTTTCATTATTGAACAATACAACATATGTTATAAATAGAATTTTATTTATGGTGAATGTCTATATTTAGAGAGATTCTAGGGTTTATTACTTGGTGGCTAAGTCAACCTCTCCCTATAAATAGAGGGTTCTATTCCATTGTAATTCATCCCAAATCAATAAGAATTCTCTCCTTTACTTTTCTCTACACCACTCTTCTTCTTCTTTTATTGTTTTATAACACGTTATCAGCACGAGACTCTAACCAATTGAGTATAAGCTTTGGGATTGAGCATAATGATTGTCAATTATTCCATGAACTTCCTTCATGATTAAATTCTGGATTTAAGGTAAGTATTTTACCGTATTTTTCTCTTTTATTCTACACTTTGATTTTAAATACAAGCAAAGACAACAAAGTTTGATTATAACTCTAATGGAGTTTGTAAGAAATTATAACCACCTGAAGTGGTAAAATTTCTATGCCTCGCCATGATCAAATTCATGTATGATTGTGGGCAAAGAATTAAAAACCCGTCCCATTGAATTTGCTCCATTCTCTTCCCTTAAGAGAATGTGATAACAGTATGTGATAAGTCTGAAAGAAGACAAAATTATTACTATGAATGTATCAATGGATATGGACGTGGCAATAGACGAAATTATAATCGTCATCATTTGTGGTAATGAGAACAATAAGGATTCTCAAAATAATCTTTCACTCTGTGAAAAATATTTGTCGTCGATTTGACATGAGATTTTGTAAAGCACATACAGATGATTATGGTCCATTCATGATGTGAATGTGACAACATCTGATTTATGAATACATATTCATTCTTCAAAGAATATGAACGTGCTAGTGGTTGTGAATATACCGCACTCACCTCTAAAAGGAGGTTTGAGATGATATAAGAAAATAATGTCATTATTGTGGCATGAATGGTCATTGGTCACGTACCTATTGTAAGCCAAAATATTTTGGCATTGTGATTGTTAAAAGACAACGGTAATGCAAGAAACAGATCTTGCATATAATTTTGACCATAACCATAATGGTATAACTTTCTCTTTAAAAGAGATATTCACCATATGGGTGTTGATGAATATATGGTACTACAAAATTAATTGAGAACTCTGCAAGAGCCAATTATACTATTTTGAAAAAACACAATTAATTCTCAATAAGGTATTGTGTTGTAGTAAGTCTCAAAGAAACTTATTCAGTTTCCAAAGTATACGCGAAAGCGGTTGATTATATTGAGACTATAAATAAAGGAAAGATTTAATATCTTCTATTACTACAACTTGTAGCGGGGTAATATGTATGTGAAAAGCTACCCGCTTTATTCTCCAATTTGTACTACATAAACAAAAGAATACCACAATAAAGTGGATGTTATTGATATAAAAACTCATATCATAACAAACTTGGAGTTTATTGATAATTGCACACGTCATGGTGTAAATCCGATGTTTATCAATATTGATAATTTATTCAGTTGGCNATAGTTTTTGAATGGTGGAACAAGGCTGTTATATGCAAAATGATGTGGGCAATACACATGAAAAAGGATGCACTTTGGATCAAATGGATACATGCTATGTACATAAAGAAGGAAGACTTTACGGAGATGCAGACACCAAGACAAGCTAGTTGGTTAGTCAAGAAGATCTTTGATATTAGGGATTGGTACAAGGAGATAGAAACAGTTGCAAACATAGATAAATTCTGTGTGAAAGGCAAATTCAGCATTCACAAGATGTATACTCTATCATGACCTAAGTACCCTAAGGTTGAATGGAAAGCATTGACACTGGGAAATGGTATTCCTAGGCACAACTTTATCCTGTGGTTAGCCTTAAACCACAGACTCACTACTGTGGATCGACTTGCAAAATGGGGGATTCAAGTTGATCAAGATTGTGTATTATGTAAGAGAAGACAGACTGAAAATATGGAACACATATACTTTGAATGTCAATATACAAAGTATATTTGGAGCAAGCTGGTTTGGATGGGAGAAAATCACCAGATAGGCACATGGCTTGAAGAGGTTACTTGGATGAGTAAAAGAGCAAGAAGTGGTCGAGCCCAAAACAACATGCTGGTCTTCTTGTTTGCAGCAGTAATGTATCAAGTGTGGACAGAAAGGAATATGAGAAGATTTCAAGGGAAGGAGAAGGAAGCAGAGCGAAAGGTTAGAGACATTGTCCTCCAAGTTCATATAAAAGGACAGCAAAATGCGAAGTGGAAGAAGAGACTTGAGCAGCTGAATAGTTTCCCATAGGAGTCTGTATTTGGTTGCTATTGTATGCTGAATGAGTCAAAAGTAGTTTCCAAAAAGTAGTTAAAGTAGTTATATTGATGTAATGAGTCTAACTCTTGAGTCCTAAAGAGTTAGAGGCACTGTATAATTGTTTCTTGGTTAAATAAAATTTATTTTGACCAAAAAAAAAATAATATTGCATATAGAGAATTGATTAAATATCAACGTGCAAAGCACGTACATAGAGACTAGTCTATACTATATTAAAAGCACGAAGCCCCTTAGCGAAATGTCGTTCGCCTTTTTTACCCTTCGTATGTATATTTCATTTTGGATAAAATTGTCATTATAAACTCTAATAAATTTTTCCTATGGAATAAAACTAAAAGTTGCCGTTTATTTCCGTTTTTGTTGCATACGGCTTTTTCTTTATTTAGGTTTAGGTTTCACTTTAAGTTTAGAATTCTTTTACCAATAAATGTTTACTTAGTTATTCTTTTCTTTGTTTAGGTTTAGGATTCACTTTAGATTAAGGATCCTTTATCAAAATTTTCTTAAGCTACAGATCTTTGTAACAGCTTTTAATTACCGTATGTAGCTTTATTTTGTTAACAACTTTTTTTTGTTTTAATTATTGTAGGTATATTACAATATATTGATCGTTGGAATAAGTTCTTAAAATTTTGTGGGCTGTGGGTTTGGATACGGTGTAACGACGTCTCTAGAAGTAAAATTTGTTTGTTTTTGAGGTAAAACCTTTTAATCTTTAGTGTGTTTTTAAGTTAAGTAATAATAATGGTTCATGTATTCTTGAGTCTTGACAAACAATTACCAATCGAAAAGTTATTAGTTTTGTACTTTTTGTTTATAATTTTCATATGATTATCAGTTTAGTGACATATTTACAGATTTTGTACAAGTTGTTTATACATTAGATCATTGCGTCCGTAACAAAAAAATAGTTACGCGTTCATGATATCAATTCAAGATCTTATTAATTCAAGATTATTTTGCCTTATGTTTTATAATTAAAATTGTTAATTGATGTGTGCCGGCTTAAGTTGCTCATATTCTCTAAGAATTTTTTTATTACCTCTTTTGATTGATTTTGTTATAGATATTACATGGCCTAATTGTTACTTAAAGAATAAACATTAACAAGTGACGTCCCAAGATTTTGATCATTTCGTCGGCTGAAGTAAATATTTCTCCTTATCTCATAAAAAGAGTTATAGAACTATGTTACTATTATAGATTTTTCATCATAAAAATTTAAGGAATATTAATTTTAAGGTGTGGTGTAGGATTTTTTTGTCTCACTTACAGTTTTCAATTTTGCTAAACAATAAAATTGTGTTGCACACAAAACTAAATTTATTAGGTTTGAAAGTTATGTGTCTTTGTTGAAGTTCAACTACGAGTTTGTTCTTTCAATCTTTGATCTTCATAATTGAAATTTTCTGAAATAATAACTTACTTCAATTTATTTTAGGGTANATATCTTTGAATTATATAATGTAGATAGTATGATTTTATATTTTGTCATTTACAAAATCATGACAAATATATTATCCGATCCTTCCTATTTGAATTATGTAAAAATTATAATTTAATATTTAGAACTTTAACAATAATTTCTTCCATGTTTTTAAAAATTTAATATATGAACTATAATATATTTATATATTATGTTTCAACTCCTTTCCTGCTCAAATAGTTCATCAATTTTTGTATAATATTTGAAAACTACACTCAACAATTTGAACAAATAACTTAAAAAATTAAAAATTGTGTGTGGAGAGAGAGAGAGAGAGAGAGAGAGAGAGAGAGAGAGAGAGAGAGAGAGAGAGAGAGAGAGAGAGAGAGGCGGGCAGTTGGCGAAAGTCAATAACACTAACAACTCTGCAAACACAAAGATCCAAGAGTGAAATAGTGATTGGATTTTAAACTATTTGAAAATATAATGCTTATTGGATCGATAAAACTATAACTAAAATTAAATATTTCAAATTCAGGATGAGCTAACATTAAAAATTTAAATCAAACAAAAGATATATTTTTTTAAATAAATAACTAAGTCTTTAAATTAACTAATTAGAAAAAGAATCTCATTCAATTATTTTCTAAATTCTTCATATAAATTAAAATTATTTTTCAAGTTGACATAACTATTTGAGTGCATGAGTTTATTTTTATATGAAGAACATGAGCGGTAAAAGGAATCAAAAAATAAATTTGATTATAATATAATATTAAGAATTAGATTGGTTAAATGCAAACATGAAAAAAATGAGATTGAAATAGTGAAGACAAATTATATTCTAATGAGTTGACGTTAATTATTTTTCGTTTATTTTCTATTCATTCAAGCAATTGATTCTTTGTGGTATTTGTTGCCAAAAAATGACTCTTTGTAGTTTTTAGTATTAAGTCATTTTTATATTTTACATTATACTTATCCAATCTCATTCCCGAATCTATAACAAACAAGAAGTTCAATTTTTAAATTTGTGTTGTTTGACAAATATTTAAAACATTGTGATAAAAGCATATAATAAATATTCGGTCATATTTGCCAAGTGAAAATTTTGGTAAATTCGAAACAAACAATATATATTGGTATTCTAATTGATTATAGCATTCATGTGAGATGTGAAGGGTAAATATTTTATTTTAGAGTTTTGTCTGATGAGTGTTTGCATTAGGTTTTTTATAAATCAACATATTGCTTAATACTATTTATACAATGTTTTAAAATAGTGTATTCACTGATTTGGATACACGCGCAAAGCGCGTACCCTAAAATTAGTTTACTAAAAAGAGAAAGATAGGAGATATAAAAAAAAGGCAGAAAAATAGAAAATTTAATTAAGAAGTGTAAGCAAATATTTAGAGTGTCCAATACAATATTTCAAGTTAAAAAAGAAGTGGAAACACTATAAAAAACAGGATAATAAAGAGAAGAAAAGAAGAAGATATACAGGCAAGGGTGACCATTTTAAATAGTTAAATGTTACATGAAAAATAAAAGAATAACATCGTGAGAAGAAGTGAAAAATTACAAAAATGCAAAAGATATAACAACTCTTATTCCCGTAGCCGTCCTCGCAACACTTTCTGTACATCCATTATGTTTTACGAAATAGCTATGTTGAGATTGATTATTTATTTTTGTACTCATTCTCACTTGTATTCATACATGTATTGTACAGAACTATAAATAGGACATATACCTTGTATTTTTCTTTTAAGTTGAAAGAAATAATAAATCAGATTCTTTCCATATCTAGAAGCTTCATCTGCTTCTCTCTCTCTTTCCCCTCTTGTGCGAGCTAAACCGCCATTGGAGCTCATATTGTGCTTACCATTTTTCTCTGATTTCTTTCAAGTTTTCACATGGTATCAGAGCGAGACAACGACATGAAGCTCTATCCCCTTTCGATTTTTCGTTCTTCTGCCCACAAAGTCAGAAATTGATTACTGTTACTCATTTTTTTGGGAATTAGGGTTCCTGTGTAGAAATCGATCAACTAATCGACTGTTCCTAGCTATTCGTCTTCATCAACAACCATTTCATCATAGTCAATTCGAATTATGGACGGAGGAGACGAGGTCCCAGTCACGAACAAAACCCTAGATTCAACGAGTCCATTGTACATGCATCCATCGGAAAGCGTTGGATCTATGCTAGTTCTGATAGCCTTTGACGGAACTGGCTATAGATCATGGAGAAGAGGAATCCTCAGAACACTCTCCGTGAAAAATAAATTGGGGTTCATCACCGGAAAATGTAAGAAGCCAGCCTCTGATTCGAGTGACCTTAACCAATGGGAGCAATGCGATGACATGGTAACCTCATGGATCTTAAACTCGCTATCCAAGGATCTGGCTGACAGTTTGCAATACGTCAATGATGCCAAAGAGCTTTGGCAAGAACTAGAAGATAGATACGATCAGACTAATGGCGCCAAGCTGTATCAGCTACAAAAGGAGATAAATGATCTGAGCCAAGGAAGCCTGGACATCACTGGATACTATACAAAAATGAAGAAACTTTGGGAAGAACTCAACAACCTGAATATTCATGCCAAATGTGCTTGCAAATGCACCTGTGGAGCAAGAGAAAACATACTTAAGGCTGAACAGGATAGAAGATTAATTCAGTTCCTGATGGGGCTCAATGAAGTGTATATTGTCGTGAGAGGGAGTATTTTGATGATGAACCCTCTCCCAACAATAGCTCAAGCCTTTTCTATTCTCATTCAAGAGGAGAAACAAAGGGAAGTTAAACCGAGTAATAGTTTTGCAATGGACTCTGCTGCCTTAAAAGTGAGTGGATCAGGAAACAATAATTTCAGAACCAACTACAATCAACAGGGGAACAATAACAACACCTACAGTGGATATAAGGGAAACCAGCTCAATAGCAGACCTAGACCATTCTGTGACTACTGCAAGAGGCCATCGCACACTAAGGACAAATGCTACAAACTTCATGGATTTCCACAAAGTTCCAGGTTCAATAAGGGAAAAAGAGTTGCTGGAAATGTTTTTAGACCATCAAATGAAGCTGATGTGGTGAATGATAATAGGAATGGGCCTCAGGAACAGGAACAGAGTCGACACATGCACAGTCTGACCAAAGATCAATATGGGCAACTGCTCACCATTCCGGAAAGCTTTCAAGGAGGAGCAGATAATTCCACAAGCAATTGCATCAATGGAGGAGCTGTGAACTTTGCAGGTATTTCAGCATGCTCTACTCATTTTGAGTCTAGTAATCATTTGTGTGATAGTTCTAGATCAGATGCTGATACCTGGATTCTTGACTCTGGAGCCACAAATCACATGACACATAACAAATCAATCCTAAGTAATATTAAAACCCTAGTTTACCCATATCTAGTCACCCTACCAAATGGCTACAAGGTTAAGGTGACACTGATTGGTGATGTAATCCTAAGTCCAAAATTCAGTCTCAGGAAGGTCCTCTTTGTTCCCAGTTTTAAATTCAACCTAATATCAGTCCACTCTTTGACAGTTCAACTTGATTGTATTGTAGTGTTCACCAAGTACATTTGTATTCTTCTACAGGGCCCTTCACTGAAGAGGCCACTGGAGATTGGTAAAGCCAAGACTGGTCTGTATCTACATTGTTCAAGCAACTGCAACACTGGTTCAACCCTCTCTAATTCTTCTAGTACTTCTATTCCATGTTTTACTAATAATAAGGACAGGATAGATTCTGCAGTTAATATATCTAGCTCACCTTCTTCTTCTCAACTAGTTAGTACAAGCAAATTGGTTTCTACTGCTCCTGTTACTTCCACCATGGTTACCCCATCTTATAGTGATAATAGAAGTAGCTTACTTCCACATTCAGGTCATTCTGTAAACAGTTCAAACAATAAAAATGAGTCTTCTTTGTCTGGTAATTGCTCTACTACAAAGCCTTTGCTTGATCTTTTGTGGCATAACAGATTAGGACATGTACCTTTTGTCAAAATGAAAGGGATTTCCTCTATACCTGCTACCTTTGCACCCAAACAACCTTTTCTTTGTCCTGTATGTCCAATGGCAAGACAAACCAGATTATCTTTCCCAGAAAGAGCAACCTTGACTACCAAACCCTTTGAATTGCTACATATTGACTTGTGGGGCCCATACCACGTTGCAACACACAATAAATACAAATACTTCATTACCCTTGTTGATGATTATAGCAGGTCCACATGGACCCACTTGTTGAGTTGCAAGAGCAATGCTCTACACACTATTAAGGCTTTCTTTGCTATGGTAGAGCAACAATTCAATACCAATGTTAAAACTATAAGAACAGACAATGGTCTTGAGCTTACCAGCCAAGAAGTCACTTCATTCTTACAATCAAAGGGCATTATACACCAAAGAACATGCCCATATACACCACAACAAAATGGTGTGGTGGAAAGAAAACACAAATATTTGCTGGAAACAGTCAGGCCCTACTCTATCAGTCAAAATTACCCATGCAGTATTGGGGTGAATGTATTTTGACCTCTACCTACCTAATAAACAGACTGCCTTCTTCATCACTCAAAACTAAATGTCCCTTTGAACTCCTTTACCAGAAAAAGCCAAGCTACTCTCACCTCAGAAGCTTTGGTTGTTTATGCTTCCCTACCACTCTCAAAACACACAAGGATAAGTTTGAGCCATGAACTACTCCCCATGTTTTTGTAGGATATCCCTTTGAGACAAAAGGCTATAAGGTACTAAATCTGGCCACTAAGAAGATAAGCATTTCAAGAGATGTAGTATTCCATGAAAATGTGTTTCCATTTGTCATGTTCACTGAGTCTAATAAAGTCTTTCCCTCATTTCCTCAAATGAAATCATACTTATCAGATGATTTGTTTCCTCCCAGTAATATAAGTAATGTTCCACTCTCAGCAAGTGACAATGCTCACCATGAAGTGTCACCTGGGAACCTGCCCAGGCCTGAGCCTTGCTCACCCTCATTCAACCCTCATAGTGATGACTCCAGATGTTCTCACTCACCCTTAAGAAGTCAGACATCAAGAACCTCTTCTGCTATTGATAGTCCAGAAGAAGTCTATCCTGATATACCTCATAGTCCAACTACTACAATCCAGGATCAAGGAACCTCAGTCTCAAATCAGAACAGACCCTCTAGAACTTTGAAAATACCTACTTATCTTAAAGATGATGAATGTATCCTTCCCAGAGTTCAGCAAAATTATCAAAATCTACCAATCTCTCCAAATGATAGCCAAAGTACACAGTCTTTTTCTTTCAATACATCTGCCCCTAAACCTCTTGATACCTCACCTAATGGAGCACTCTCCAACTGTCAGCATCTGATAGGAACTGTTCCACATGAATGTGAACCAAGCTCATTTGAGGAAGCTGCTGTAAAGCCTGCCTGGCAAGCAGCAATGACTCAAGAATTTCAAGCATTGTATGCAAATAAAACCTGGGACCTAGTTCCTCTTCCAATTGGAAAGAAGGCAATAGGGTGTAAATGGGTATATAAGATCAAACATAAGGCAGATGGTAGTGTAGAGAGGTTCAAAGCTAGATTAGTAGTTAAAGGGTATACACAACAAGCTGGGATAGATTACACTGAAACATTCTCTCCTGTAGTAAAAATGACAACTGTTAGGGCTTTAATAGCAACAACAGTCAAGAAGGGGTGGCAGGTCTTACAGCTAGATGTAAATAATGTTTTTCTCCATGGGGATCTCCATGAAGAGGTGTATATGGAGATACCACCAGGCCTAGTTGTGGATTCACCAGGCTTAGTGTGTAAATTGAACAAGTCCCTATATGGACTCAAACAAGCAAGTAGACAATGGTATGAGAAATTAACTGAAGCCTTGTGTTCAAGGGGGTATACTCACTCAATGCTTGATTATTCTTTGTTCTATAAGAAGAGTGAATGTTCAGTAGTGTTTGTAACTGTGTATGTAGATGATGTCCTAGTTACTGGGACTCATCTACAAGAGATTGAGTCCCTGAAGGTTTTTCTGCACAACACTTTTAAAATAAAGGACCTAGGGAGACTTCATTACTTCCTAGGACTGGAAATTCAATATACAGAGAAAGGAGTCTTGATGTCACAAAGAAAATTCACCATTGATCTTTTAAGAGAGTTTGGATGTATAGACTGTCCTTTCATGGCTTCCTCTATGGACCCCTCTACGAAATTAAAGGCTGATGAGGGGGCTCCACTTGCTGACCCTTCTTATTATAGGAAATTGATTGGCAAACTCAACTTTCTCACTAATACTAGATTGGACATTGCCTATAGTGTGCAACATCTCAGCCAATTTATGCAAAATCCTAGGGAACCCCATTTAAAGGCAGCATACCATGTCCTAAGGTACTTAAAAGGTGATCCATCTTTGGGAATCTTCCTTAACAACAATGCAGATTATAGAGTAAATGCATTCTATGATTCAGACTGGGCTAGCTGTTCTCAGTCCAGAAAATTAGTTAGTGGGTACCTTGTGCTACTTGGTACCAGCCCTATCAGTTGGAAATCCAAAAAGCAGTCTACTATTTCATTATCTTCTGTAGAAGCTGAATAGAGGTCAGCTAGAATGGTGGTTGGTGAACTCGTATGGTTGGCAAGACTTCTGACTGAACTTACTGTTCCATTGGCCTTACCCATTCCCATATTCTGTGATAGCCAAGCTGCCCTACACATCACAAGAAATCCTGTGTTCCATGACTGAACTTACTGTTCTCACAAAGTGGATTGTCACTTTGTGAGAGATCAACTGCAGGAAGGGCTTATTTCTCTTCATCATGTCTCTACCAATGACCAGTTAGCTGACATTTTGACTAAGTCCTTAACAGGGATCAAGCATGCTGGACTTCTTAGCAAGTTGGATGTGAGATCCTCCCCTCCAACTTGAGGGGGGTGTTGAGATTGATTATTTATTTTTGTACTCATTCTCACTTGTATTCATACATGTATTGTACAGAACTATAAATAGGACATATACCTTGTATTTTTCTTTTAAGTTGAAAGAAATAATAAATCAGATTCTTTCCATATCTAGAAGCTTCATCTGCTTCTCTCTCTCTTTCCCCTCTTGTGCGAGCTAAACCGCCATTGGAGCTCATATTGAGCTCACCATTTTTCTCTGATTTCTTTCAAGTTTTCACAAAGGAAATGTGAAAGCTACAAAAACTAACCTAAGAATACTAGTTATCATACAACAAGAACACAAAGTTCTCTTTCAAAAAAAAAAAAAAAAAGAACACAGAGTTGTTGCTTCTCAACTATTGGATGTGTTAACAAAGTTAATTATTTTATATTTTGTATTAATAAAGTCATTTAATTATCGCAAATAAAGTACTCCAATTAATTGACTTTACCATTGTTATATCACTTGAAATATACTCTTAATGAAAAATGTATTTTCATTTATAATTTAAGGACCAAATGTGTGCCCTTTTATAAAGATTAAGGACTCTTTTTCTCAAAGACATAAATGAAGGACAAAATTCTAAAAAAACAGAACTATCTGAGGTTTTTTTTTCTTGCTTCTTCATTCAAAAGCCAAACCCCTTTAGAGGGACATCCTCGTCGTTCTTCTGTTCTCCGACGATTAGGGTGCCGAAATAATCGGCAAAATATCTTCTTTGCCTAATTGTGTTCCATTTGACTTTAACTTCTTCAGAATTTCCTTTGGCCTGCTGTAATTAGAGGATTCTCTGTAGGCTTGTTGCAGAAATTAGCAGAATAAAGATATTAATTGCACTTAAAATTGCGAGTTGGTTCTTTTTCATAAACCATATGATCCGAATACATCAACGATGGACCCGATAATTCGAACTCTACCTCCACCCTCATCGCTGTCCCCATCAGTTGTTTCTTTCCTCAACGCCAAACTCAACACAAGAGAAGACCTTGATCAGGCTCCGAGTCTTGTTTCGGAGCTCCGAAATCAGTGTCATGCCCTCGATCAAAGCCTTTCGGATCTCAACACGCAGCTCCGGAACTATCTCATCAACTACGCTTCCCATTCGGATCGAACTGGTGCTCTTCTCCGCGATATAAATTCCAATTTGGGAGATCTTCTGTCTGCTTCTTGCTCTGCAGCTTCTTCATCAGGTATAAACTGCATTTTATGCATACACTTGCCAGTTACATAATTTATTGGTTTTCTTATGTGTAATTACTTATAGAAATCCGTGATATTGAAATGGTTGCGTAGATGGAGGATCAGGGAAGGTACTGGGGGAGGAGCTACCGGCTTTGGCTAAGGAGGTTGCTAGGGTTGACACTGTGCGAACCTATGCAGGTGAGTTCACATGGCAAAATTTGTTATCTTTTCTAATGTCTATGTTTTCTTCCGGCTTGAACTTTTTTTTTGGTTTTTTGTTAATTAGAACTAGGGAAAAAGGTACATAAGAAGGTATCCACAAGATACAATGAATAAGTAAATTCAGAGTTCAGTAAGGAAGACATATACATAGAGAACATATATTATAACATAACATGAAATTTGGTTTCGGAAAAGTTTGGCTTTTATAGTGAAGTGTTGTTATATAGGGATGCTGTTATAGAGAGGTCTGACTGTACCACAAATCTATTGTGGAATGAAGCAACAATGTTTAAGTACATCTCTACCAGAAGAGATATCAGATGTCAGTGTTGGTTCTTTTCTCTAACTACGCTTACATTCACCAAATTTTACCACATTACTAAATGAATGATCCAAGACCTTATTGCGATCTTCTATTTCATGGCTATGAGCGGATTAAACGAGCTTATGTTACCAACTCTCTAGGTGTTATAGCTGTTACAAAAACACTGAGACACATTTAAGATAGCTGAATATTAAGTCTGTTGAATGCCAAAGGGCAAAAAAAGTGTATAAAGCAATTTCATATTGGTCTCATTATAGGGGAAAGAATAGCACCTTTGAATTCAAGGCAAATACTTGGACATATGTCTGTTAAAAACTAAATGGTAGTAACTTCTTACACTGCAGAAGATCTATACAGAAACTCTGTTTGGTGTTTATGTGTGAGAACTGAGAACAGCGAGATATTGCTCATGTTTGTTTCAAGTCTCTACGTCGTCCTTCCTAAAGGGGATATATGAGAACTTCTTTGGAATATCTGAGTTATTTTTGTTGTTCCTTCTACGCTTGGAGAGTTTTCTGCCCTCTAAATTAGTGGGCTTTGGTTAAAAGATAAAGCTCTGTAAGCCATATTATTTCTTATTGAGTTTTTTTGCGAACCTAGTTGCTAAATGCAAGTTTTGATGCAATTTGTTCATGGTCCCAAAATGAAAGCTTACATTCAAATATGAAATGGAGGGCATCTTCAAGTTTAGCACATATATTTTTGGTCGGTCAGGTTTCGCTCAGATCTTACATTAAACAATGTTTAGAAAAGCTTCCGCATTTAAACTCTAGTTCATTTGATATACAATGCATCCAGCTACTTGAGCTTGACATATATTTCGTGGCATTTTGAACATGTAACTTTTTCTTGAGGAGACAATAAATATTTTGACCTTTGTTGCCATATGCTGAATGGGCCTTGGATTCCTTGTAAGCTTTTCTTGTTTGTTGAGTTCCTTTTTGTTTATGTTGTGCAATCTGTTCCTTCATAGAGGTGGTTATTCGGCTTAGATGGATGTAACAATCATACTGAATTTAGCATGATGGATATTGTAGAAGACCTATAGCATTAGGGAATCAAAATTATAAAATATTGGAACGAAATGGGCCCAAAAAGAGATATATATATATTCAGTGAGGATTCATATGCCCATCCCAACTAGCGTGAGTCGAAGGGCCGAGTTGGCATCCAACAAGTTATTGTTGATTTGGGGTAAACTTTCCTTATAGAGGCATGGTTACTTATAGATCATGGGGGCAACCCATCCATGTTTGCTTGTCTCTCAAGTCTTATCTGCATTATCATCAATATCAGTTGTTTTGAGACTAATACACGGTGATAATCTATTACTCCATTTCGATTTGGAAATATTTCATTCTAAACATCGTATCCAACTGTCCATTATAATTTCCAGAGACAGCATTGAAGCTTGATACTTTGGTTGGTGACATTGAAGATGCGGTCTCCTCCACCGTGAAGAGAACTTTGAGGAGAGAACCATCTGCTAAAAGTTCAGAAGTTTGTGTCCTCTTGGAATGGAAGTGATATTTCTGTGGCCATTCTGTCTTTATCCTTCTCTAATTTTTTAATGTTTTTCAGGAGATGCGAGGTGTTGCTATCAGAACACTGAAGTTAACTGAAGACACACTAAGATTCGTAGCAAAAACATATCCTCAGTGGACACGTCTTGTGTTAGCAGTTGATCATAGAGTTGATCGATCTCTAGCCATTTTAAGACCTCAGTCCATTGCAGATCACAGATCACTTCTCACTTCCCTTGGCTGGCCGCCACCTCTGTCCACTTTAAATTCTTCGGGCACAGAGTCAAAGCAGTCAGCTGATGTCCAGAACCCACTTTTCACAATGAAAGGGGACCTTAAACAACAATATTGTGAAAGTTTTCTAGCATTATGCAGTCTGCAGGAACTGCAAACGCAAAAACGAAAATACTCGTCAACTTGAAGGGCAAGATATAGAAATTGCTTGTACCAGCCACTTTGGGCCATTGAAGAAGCTTGTCTAAATCCTATATCTAAACTGTCATCTCAAGC